CCGCCGCGAATACTCCTGGACGCAACAGTTTGGCGCCGTCTGTGGGAACGTGGTTCCCGACTGGGGGGCAACTTTTGCTCCAATCTCAAAAGTTCACACATAGCATCAATATCATAAGATGTAGATGCGGACTGGGGGGCAACTTTGTCTCAAACCATGGTCAAATAGATCCTCCAATACCTTCAACATCAAGTTGATATTTCAGGAATATCCGAGCAAATGTAAGGATACTTCAAATCAATTGCAAGCTTTATATAGTCCCTTGTTGGACTTCTACTCCTTGGGCAAGGTCTTAACCTCGACCTCAAAAAGGCAGTAACGGTCTAAAGATAGACCTTCTTCACTTTCGATTCGGGATATACGCGGCGTTCGCCCCCTCCCAATCAAAGCAAAATCAATCCCAGGGGGATTCGATTCGACCTCTTCCACACAGGTTAACGTCGTCGAGCAAAGGCTCCGACATACAACCTCGGAAAGGTTTCACATCCTTGGTGGATTCTTTCGACCTCTTCCACACAGGTTAATTTCATCGAACAAATATTCTAACATATAACCTCGGATAGGTCTCACATCCTCGGTGGATTCTCTCGACCTCTTCCACACAGGTTAACGTCGTCGAGCAATGGCTCTGATATACAACCTCGGATAGGTCTCACATCCTTGGTGGATTCTCCCGACCTCTTCCACACAGGTTAATATTGTCGAACAAATGTTCCGACATACAACCTCGGAAAGGTCCCACATCCTCGGTGGATTCTCTCGACCTCTTCCACACAGGTTAACGTCGTCGAGCAATGGCTCCGATATAAAACCTCGGATAGGTCTCACATCTTTGGTGGATTCTCCCGACCTCTTCCACACATGTTAATGTTATCGAACAAATGTTCCGACATACAACCTCGAAAAGGTCCTACATCCTTGGTGGATTCTCCCGACCTCTTCCACACAGGTTAACATCATCGAGTAGGGATCTGACATACAACCTCGGAAAGGTCTCACATCTTTGGTGGATCCAATATTGGTTAACATCATCGAGCAAAGGCTCTGATAAACAACCTCGGATAGATTATACATCCTTGGTTAACGTCACTAGAATGTCGTCAATCGAATTCCATCGAACTTCTGCACAAAGTTAAATTTTTACTTGATGTTGAATTTTCTCCTGTCGCTGAATTTTTGCCTTGCAGGACTTTCAACGGACTAATATCCGACGTCGGACTTCTTGCTCTCGTCGGACTTCTGCTCGTCAGCGGAATTCTACTCGTCGTCGGACTTCAACCCATCGACGAACTTTCATCGGTCTTCTGCCCAAGGCCGTACTTCTACTCGACGTCGGACTTCTCCTTCTCATCAGATTTTTGCTCGTTAGCGAACTTCTACCCGACGTCGGACTTCTGCTCGTCAGCAGACTCCTACTCGTCGTCGGACTTCTAATCGTCGAGAAATTTTCGTCGGACTTCTGCCCAAGGCCGTACTTCTACCCGACGTCGGACTTCTCCTTGTCGTAGGATTTCTGCTCGTTAACGGACTTCTACCCGACGTCGGACTTCTGCTCGTCAGCGGACTTCTACTCGTTGTCGGATTTCAGCCCGTCGATGAACTCTCATCGGTCTTCTGCCCAAGGCCGTACTTCTACCCGATGTCGGACTTCTCCTTGTCGTCGGATTTCTGCTCGTCAGCGGACTTCTACCCGACGTCCGACTTATGCTCGTCAGCGGACTTCTACTCATCGTCAGACTTATGCCCGTCGACTAACTTTCAACGATCTTCTTCCCAAGGCCGTACTTCTACCCGACGTCGGATTTCTGCTCGTTAACGGACTTCTACCCGACGTCGGACTTCTACTCGTCGTCAGACTTATGTCCGTCGATGAACTTTCATCGGTCTTCTGCCCAAGGCCGTACTTCTACCCGACATTGAACTTCTCCTTGTCGTCGAACTTCTGCTCGTCAACAGACTACTACTCGTCATCGGCTTCTTGCTCGACTGCTACTTGCATCGCACCCTCGAACTCTCTCCTTTAGCTCCAAACTCGATCGTTGACTGCTAATGGGCTTCAACTCGATCGTCCATCGACAGCAAATCTCCGCTCAAATGGCAAAGAAATCTCGTAGGCTTCTGCACGCGATGAGGGGCGCTAATTCGAGTAGAAAAAAATTCCAACTCGCAAATAACGGAAGCCTCAACCGCCAGAAAGCCGTGGGGGAAGAAAGAGAAATTCCGTAACTCCTGCGCGATAGGAGGGACGCTAATTCGAGCAGGGGAA